GCCCTCCTCACTCTCATTACCTGCCTGGGCCCCACAACCACACGGGTTTGCAACCCCTGCACCAAACAGTGGTTAGCAAGTGAGTTCAAACCTAAGCACACAACCTCACTCACACCAAACAGTTAACTGTTCATAAGACTAAATGTGCCTCTTAGCAATGCACCCACATGGCAATTCTTGAACATTCCTCAAGGGATTCCAGGGCATTTTATAAGTATTTCTTGATTAACCACAGACAGAGAGATCTTGTTACAGCTAGAAGAGACCTTAACAGGTCATTTAGTCCAACTCCCTGATTTCACAGAGAAGGAAACCCAGGCACAGGGACATGGAGTGATTCACCCAAGGCTACAAAGTGGGTCACAACCAGTGACAGGAGCAGAGCTGAGACTGCCTGACTTCCAGAGTGCACCTCCTTCATTCCTGACAGATGTAAACAATTATGAGGCACTTTGTCTTAAAAATGTCCTCCCATGTTAGACTCCTGATTGTATTGATTATTCATCGAGCTTCTGCTACAATCCCTCCAAAGATTAAGTGCTGGCAAAACAGTGATCTGAAACCAGAATACATTTCTCTCCAACGATCAGCAATCATTCTCCCGAACACATACTGTGATCAAAGGTTCTTAAATCTCCACCCTTACCCCTCAGCAGGTGGCACTTAAAGCACAAGCTAGATACCACAAACCACCCGCTCCTCCTTGTCTTAAAGCCAAAGAGAACATAATGTTTTAATCTTAGAAAGCTGGTCTCTAGCTTACCCACAATGTCGGAAGATACTCAGAGGAAGTGATCACATTACCACTTAAATCAAATTGATTAATCTGCCGGAAAACTATGATGTTTACGTCATCGATGTCATTATTCCCAACCTAGAAAAAGATGAATGCTGGTGTTAAGAAACCTAGAGGAGGAACTTTTAGCTGCTGGATCGTCTGAGAGCCACTTCACAGCAAACTGTACTTCTTATCTTAAGGGAGTAGAGTTTGCCACCGAAGTAGCCTAAGTCCAAGGTCAAAAACTGATAGTAGTTGGGCTACATCTGACCCACAAGCACATTTTGTTTGATGTGCACAGTACTTTTTCAGTAAGTTTTATTTCCTTGTCAACTATTTTAAAAAGCAGGAAATTTCTTGTTCCAAGCTAGATATTCCATTTTCTTTTGGAAAAAAAGACAGGAAAGACAATGCTCTTGTTGGGCAACAATCAGTGGGCCCAGTTGTCCTCGGAAGGAAGATGGGGCAATCTACTTCCACAGTGATCCTGCCTCAGAAACCCAAGGAGGGGTCGCTATGAGTTGGATCTGACTCGATGGCACATAACAACAACATGTGCTCTTTAGTTTGTGAGACTCCAGAAAGCCCACTTCTCTCCTTCATACCTGCCTGGCCACCATCCCCACTACTATTTATGATCCTGGCCTAAGTCACCCCAATAGGGAAATCTACAAGATATAAAGCATTTTGGTGTGGGACAGCCACCACAGCACTCCAAAATGCCAGACGCCATAAAGACATCAAGACAACCCACTTCCTAGGCCATAAAGCCCTACCTGGCCCACTCCTCTCCACCCTACTGTTGGCTGTCATTGAGTCAATTCCAACTTCTGGCAATCCCAGGGGTGACCTTCCAAGGCACCTCTGGTGGGTCTGACCTGCCACCTTTTTGGTTAGCAGTGGAGAGCTTAACCATTGAACCACCAGGGCTTCATATCTAATATTCACCTAATAAAGCCACCAAGAGTCTGTCTCTCTCTTCTTGCCCAAGCCACTAGTCCAGCAAATTCTAAGTGTTTATAGTAAGAGGAAAGTCTTCCTTCAGATGGATCTGGACACCTCCTGTGAACTGGAGAACTGGGTCAATTTAGATCATGAATCAAAAGACTGTCCACCAAATGGAATAAATATGGGCATCTGAATATAAAGAGGCTGGCAGTTCAAATCCACTAGCCACTCCTCAGAAAGAAGGTTGGGCAATCTACTTCCCTAGTGATACTGCCTCGGAAACCCAAGGAGAGGTTGCTATGAGTCGGATCCGACTCAATGGCAGTGAGTTGGGTTTGGTTCCTTTTGCGTAGTCGGGGCCGACTCGACGGCAAACAACAACAACAACAACAACAAAGACCAATTAAGCCCACATTCTCTTTATTCCCCTCTCTTGATTTGAGATGCTCCTTAGGCCTTAAGACTCTTAACTTGCAGAATAATGATGAGGGTTTGCAGGGCAAGTTGCAGGAATGAGAAAACAAGAGCATAAATTTCTTTTCTGAATGCATAACAGTGATGCTCTTCATTAAAAACCCCACCCACATAAGAAGGCTGCTTGTGAAGATGACACTATTCTAAGAGGACCATTAATCAAGATTTAAAGCTCACCCCACAACAGCTAAAATGCAGACAGTGAAAGGAGCATTTAAGTATTTTTGATCAGGCCGCAATCACAGTAAGATTCAGCAGAAGAATTTAATGCCTTACCTCAATTATTCGATGGTGGGGGAGGGCTCGTTCAATGTGATCGTTGCCTTCGGCCTTGAGCTGAACATGGTACACGCATCCTGGCTGCAAATAAACCAAGCAGTCAAGTCTCTAGAAAGGAACATATTCTATAAATGCTGACCTGAGCCTGGTCTGACTGCACGTGGTCATCTCGATGGAAGAATTTCTTCCCACCTCATTTTCTAATCTGTAGCATGTTAACCTTCTCAAGGGTTACCTTAAAAAGTACCCAGGCATTACAGCATTATTCACAATGGTCAAAAGGTGGAATCAACAGATAAACTGATAAATAAAATGTGATGATATCTCCACACAATGGAATATTATTTAGTCATCAAGACCCGTAGAGTGTTAATAAATCTACAACAAGGATGAACCTTAAAAACATTACTGCTCACTGAAATAAATCAGACACAAAAGCACAAATATTATATGATCCCACTTAGATGAAATACCTAGAATTGGTGAATGGACAGAAATACAAGTTTAGTAGTGGTTACAAAGGGTGTGGGGAGGGGAAAACGGGATATTATTGCTTAAGGGGCACTGAGTTTCTGTTTGGGGTGACAAAAAAACTTTGAAATAGTAGTAACGGTTGCATAACATGGTAAATGTCACTGAACAATGGACTTAAAAAGGATTGAAACAGCAATTTTTTTGTTTTATATATATGGTGTGCATATGTGTGTGCATGCGTGTGTGTGTATACACACACACACATACATACATATATAAAAAACCAGGAGCTCTGGTGGCATAATGGATTAAGGTACTTGACTGCTAACAGGAAGGACAGCGGTTCAAACCCACCAGCTGCTCCGCAGAAGGAAGA